ACAAAAAAGATTTATCGAGCATAAATGAATGGAGATATCAGTAGAGGCGGCTCTAGGCGGATGCATGTCGACCAGATAGGCAACGTGTTGAAGAAGGACTGTATTAAAAATACCCCTAACCGATGAATATGGAGAAAACGAAAAATGTCCGAATCGAGGAATTTGCCATTCTATTGTTTAATCTTTCTATTATCTACTCCAATTGGCGACATGCGTGACAAATATATCGTCATAGTCGTAGAATACTGACGGATCTGACAAAGATTACATATAAAGATCCGTCAGTGTTCTACGACTATGACGATATATGTACGTATGTAATTTAGTTATAGAAAGAAACTGACGTACAAAATAGTACATTTATATCACGAGTAAACACGATTTAACTAAATTTACATTTTTATCCCAAAGTTGTTCTACCGTGAAATATAGTACAACCATTTAACTTATAGTAAGATTATTATCTTCAATAATATTATAAATTTAAAAGACAGTTGTTTGTTTATTACCTCTTGAGGCTTTAACGGCTGAACCGGTCGTCGTGAAATTTGGAATACATTAACTATTTGGGATGGAAAAGGACATATGCTGTTTTATATTCCGATCACGCTGATGTGGTAAAAACTTGTTTGTAACAATTATTTGTGCAAGCATATAAAAAAATTACAAAGCGCATACATAACATTACATTCGATCTCATTAACTTAATATTTCAAAACATTACAATGTGACTTACCTTTTTTGTTTAATTACATGCCTAGATAACACGTGACAAGGACAATAAAGCAGACAGACAGAGTAATGTCATCACTACATATAGCCTACTATAATTAAGAACGATAATTAAACATAATTAGGAAGGGACATTACCTCGGCGATACCATCTAGTTTTTATTGCTTATGAATTAAAAATGTTAATGTTGTTTCACGATGTTCGCAAGCCATTAGTCATTATATTAATTAAACATAATCTATATTCGTGTTGTTCTATATCTCTCCGAAAAAAAATTTATTCATTTCAAAAATAAAAACATGTATTAACTTAGACCTGCAACTTCGTCTGCGTAGACGGAATATAATTGATTGATTGATGAGGATAAAATAGGATGACAACGCATGGGGTATCATGGGCGAAACAGTATACTCTGTTATGTCCATGGTACTGCTCATGTCTATAGGCGACGGTTACAACTTTCCATCAGGCGAGCCGTCAGCTTGTTTGCCATTCTAAGTTGTATAAAAAAGTAATAAAAAAAGTAGCCCATATCCTTTTTTATCCTAAATATGTACTGTGTTTATATAAAAATTTCATTGCAGTACGTCGTTTAAACATGTACTGAGCACCTGTCTATCAAAAGTTTAATTTTTAGGTAGTAAGATGGTATATTTGTCGTGTAGGTTTCGATATAGAATAGGCCACCCCTTCTTTCCCTGTGAGTGTCGTAAAGGCCGACTGAGGTCGAGGGATGGATGATCTCTCTTAAAACATATCTAAAGCCTAACTGAAGTTGCCAACCCGCTTGCCAAGCATGGCAACTACTGGCAAAATCTTCCTTAAAGGGGAGGCTATGTTCAGGAGTGGATAGTTAATAGCTGATATGATATGGTAAGACGGTATTTAATTTCAACGAATTTAGTTTAATAGTATATTTTTTAGTTATTCATTAAATAAATTTGTCTAAACAGATATTAGAAACTGGCCTATTACCTGAGTAATATTATAAATGCATTAACAGCATAACTAATGGAGAAGGTGGGGAAGGGATTGTTAGTAATGGGGAGGTTAGATCCCATTGCTATCAATATACTCTATCAGGTCGACCTCCACGCGTTTCCACCTGGAAACCATCGTGACAAATTTATGGTTGAATTCGTTACGATGGGCTAACTTATCTGCCTTTTCATTCTCGCCCATTATTCCTCACTGGTGTGCCGCCAACGTATACCGATAGCGCAAGTGAGAGGGGGGGGGGAGGGGTTATCATTTCATTATCATTCATAAAAAAAAAAAACTAATGGCGAAGGATAGACTACCTCTGAGCCCGATCAATGAACATATATCTATCACATGGACAAAGTTAAAAAAAGGTACTATTAAATATGCAAATAGAATTACGGAAAATTTAAATAGGTAAGGAAAATACTACATTACAGAAAATAAAATCATCAATAATTATCAGATGACGTATTTTGTCAATAACAAAGGTAAAAACCCAATATAACACGTGAAGGTAAACTTATTGTACATGTCTACTAACTTCATTCATGACAAGCGTAAGATAGGTAATAAAAATATAAGTAATAAAATATATGACAATATAAAGTTAAATAAAAAAGTTAAATATAAGAAATGTAATAAAACAATACTTATGTACTCGTACGTGTTTTTAGTTTTTTTTAAATTATTTTTAGGACTTATGTTAATTTTTCAACCATATGCAGTATGTTAATTAACGCATTTCTTAAAACTGGTATTAGTAGGGTCTCATTATTTAATTAATATATATTTTTAATAGGGTCTCAAAATATATATTTTTTAACTTAGAATATATATATATATATATATATATATATATATATATATATATATATATATATATATATATATTATCAATAAATAAAAATAAATTAAAATTCTCTAAAAAATATATATACTATAATATAATAACCTTGCGTCTTACAATACCATGTGGTCAGGGGGAAGGAATTGTTAGTAATGGGGAGGTGAGCCCCCATCGCTAACAATATACCTTATCAGGTCGACCTCCACGCGGTTCCCCCTGAAAACCCTGAAACCATCGTGACTAATTAATCGTTGAATTCGTCACGATGGGCTAACTGACTTGCCCTTTTTTTCTAACCAATCATCTCTCATTGGTGGCCCGCTAGTATATACCGAGAGAGCAGGCGGGATTACCATTCCAATATCAACCATCAAAATACCATGTGGTCCCGGCATAGGATGCGCCACCCTTTCCTTTCGCGTGGGTGTCGTCAGAAGAGACTAAGAGAACTTAATGGTCGAATGATGGGTGACAGCGTCCCTTTTAAAACATCACCAAAGCCTAACTGTGATTGCCAACCTGCCTGCCAAGCGTGGCAACTACTGGGGGATGCCTTTTTCAGCAGTGGACAGTTAATGACTGCTATGACGATGATGATGATGACATACCTTGTATTGTGTAGTTTTGTAGATACTAATTATTCTTAATTTTGAAAATTTTAATTAAATTATTTTTTTTGGCAATATATATATTTTTTTAGGAAATATCTTTTTTGATACCCTAGTAATGAATACTAACTTCAGTTTCAAGGAATGGGTTACGTTAATTAAAATACTGTATATAATTTGATGACACGAGTTTTATGAACTTATTGCATTTGTTGTTTCCGATAATTATGAATGATGATTGATAATAGTTCTTTAAAAGAATTATATTTTTATTGTACGGTTGAAAATTTCTTAGGCATTTCTATTTTGATAATAATAGCAATCGACTGGATTTACTTTCATCTTATTAAAAATGTTATTATAATTGAGTTTGATGATTTATGTGGCTCGAATTAAGAAAAAAATAGGATATTTAACAATTTTTAGGATACTTAACTTTTTTTATATTTTCTTTTTTTGGGGCAAGCTTAACGTCATTAATATTTCTAAGTTATCAGCTTAGTATCTCCTTTGTGAATATTTATGGATAAATTGGATTAAATACATGTGCATTATAAACCGTACAGTAGTTTTCTAATTAGAATCTAATGTCTATTGCAATAAAATTGTTACTTAAACGGACGGTCATGTTCAAGGTACAACACTACATTATGTTGCTTACCCCACGTAGTTGTTCTAACAAAATGTTCATTACTACTACACATACAAAGCAAGATGCATGTGTGGCGGTCCGTCGAGTAATTACACTCATTGTCACGTAATTACAACCAACACTTGTCATTGCACCCACGCTCGACCAGCCTTATCGAAACCCAATAAAGATCTAATTGTATAAGTCATAAGGGTTGTAATCTATTAACATTGCACTATATCTGATTGTTACAAATGAAAGGTTATGTGACGTAAACAACTTTATGAGACAAAAAATGTAAATCCTCATAAGTAACAGGGACTGTTGCTATCAACTAGTTATGGTTAATATCTGTATCGCTTCGGTATATATATATATATATATATATATATATACCGAAGCTATATATATATATATATATATATATATATATATATATATATATATATATATATATATATATATATATATATATATATATATTTGAACATTCATCTGAACACTGATGGCGGAACAAAAGTTTATCACTTTTTTCCATATCACCCATACCAGTTGGTTATGTTGGTTGGTTTTTTTATGCAACTTAGAATGGCAAACAAGCCCATGGCCCACCTGATAGAAAGTGGTAACCGTTGCATTGGATAATTGATATCTCATATATCCATTATTGGGTCAATATGTAGATATTGTAACTACTACTATATTGCCATATATTACTTACCTCCAGTATCAATACAGACCTTATTTGACTTTTGATTAATGTAACGATGATGCTGCTTGCTTATTTTTTTAATGAAGTTAGTTCTAATTACCTATAAGTAGTTTTTATCCTGTACTATATAATAACGCTATTAATGATAATATGTATATTATATCATCAGGGATTTCCCAAGAAACGATATTAGGCTCATAAGTATTATTAATTATTACTACGTATTGTATTCTATTAAAATCAAAGTTGCGGACATAATCGTATTAATAATTATTTCTGCATTAATCGCTTATTCCTCAATCGATGTCGATTTTCTATTAGTATTAAACAAGTTAAAATTAATAACAATTAGAATTTATAGTTAATTTTAAAATTTTATGTCAAAACATATTTAATTTATAAAAACTGTTCATCTAGAAGAGCATAATACAGATATCTAAGGATTTAAACAAGACCCCAAAATAAAAAAAATACATGCAACTTACCTATTAATATTATTCATCGCGACTGCACCAGAATTGTCTCGATCGTTCCTTTCTCTCGAACCGCCTGCAAATCTTTCGAAGTTCTCTCTTTCTTTATAATGTCTGTCAGGTCGAGGTGACGATGAGCGTCTACCTTGCATCGACTGAGGCATACTGTTCTGTTGAACTGTTTGCAACAAATTGTGGTTTCCTTGCGGTTGTTGTAATGCTTGAAGCAATTCTTGTGCATTGGCTGCGCCATTCGATAAAAAATTTGGCAAGCCGGGATTCAGTAAGGCATTTGATAGAGTTGGATTTATCATGTTCGGTCGGATGTTCGCCGATTGTTGAGGGTTCGAATTTAATAGTTGGTGGGGCTGAGCCATTGCTTGCAGGTTGGCAAGAGACGTCGAGACCACTTGGCCGTTGTTTAAGGCAAGATTCACCATTTGGTCGTTGGAGTTCACATGGTTTACTGGTATCGTCAAGATGGTCTGTGTTGCAATTCCTGTGTACAAAAATTTTGAACCTTTTGAAAACTGCAAAATAATTAACATATCTTTTTAAGAGATTAAAAAATATTGTTAGGGATAATAATTACAATGATATATCGTATATTTGGAAAAGTTATACAAATTATGGTGAAACATAATTTAAGGTAATCAGAACGTGTGCTTTCAAATAAACTAACCTTGCGAAGTTGGTATAAGTAGCTGAGCGCCCTGTATGCCCTGAACTAGTTGTCCCGAGGCCAGAATAAGTTGAGGCATAGGGGAGGGCATCGCTGGAGGTAGCATGTTGTTGTTTACAGGATTAGGCGATCCCATACCTTTGAGAAACCAGAAGAGCAATGAATGATTAATTTAAGAAAGACTAAGATATTATTAGTGATTACCTACATTACATTACTTATTTTTATTTTATGTACTAATGTATGTTATATAGTATATATACTGTGGGATAGATTTTTTAGACGTCTTTACATGTACATTATCATCATCATCATATCAGCTCTTAACTATCCACTACTAAACATAAGCCTCTCCTTTAGAGGGTTTTGCCAGTAGTTGCCACGCTTGACAGGTGGATTGGCAACCGCAGTTAGGTTTTGGAACTGTTTTAAGAAGCCCGTTGCTGTTCATGCCTCATCCTTCCTTAGCCGCCTCTTACAACACTCTCGGGAAAATAATGGGTGGCCTATTTTATACTAGTTACACATGTAATTTAATGTTATGCGATTCAGAAATATTAATTAATTAATGTGATACGATTAAGTAATGTTAATTAATTAATGCTTAAGGCACTTCTATAGATATACCAGCATTGCATGATAATTTTGTTGAAGTTAAAATTTAATGGTGACCATAGTGTATTTATATGTACATATATTGTACCATATAATCACAATTAAATGACGGCTGATTTCGCAAATTCTTTACAGTCACTATAATTTGTCAAATTAGCACTTTATTATACGACATTGTGCAATCACAGTAACATCTCACATATATCACGACTCTTTAATAGTGACTAATAAATATCAAAGCGTCATTCACACATACAATAAACATCAGTTGCCAGATAAAATATTTGCTCAGCTGCGCTTAAAACAAAAGGTTGCGTCGACTCATCAGTCATGGTATTAGTTAACGAATTGACGAAACAATAGTGCAACAACGCTCACGAACAACTTTCTACTTAGGTTATTAAACAATAAAATTATATTGTAAATACAAAAGAGCGGCACATCTACACATTACATTCGGACATAATAAAACATAGATAGGAAATTACAACCAAATCCATCGGCAACCGACCAAGACTAATTCACCGCGAACAAAACGGCCCAAACCAAAATCTAAAATATTATCAGTATGCCTCAAAAGTCAGTTAAATTCGGCATTAACATAACGTATTCATTTAAACCATGACATTTCACATTTTGTAATAAATGCTCTTTCCTACGGCGCATCAATTAAGAGCCGAAAAAAATGGATAATTAGCTCTATTAAGACAATAAAACTCTTAATGATACCGCAACAGTCGTAATATCCGTGCGTTCGTGAAAAAATATGTAATTATACTCATTATTTAAATAGGTTTTTTCGTCCATTACGGCATAGCTTTAATGGGCGGGCGAGTGAAGCCGCTATCTTGAATTCATTAAATCGATTGGTTTCGGTAATCACCTAATTACGGATCACGTGATTTCCAAGTTAAGAGTTTTAATGCGCGAACCGTGTCTTTCTGATTATCTCAATCTGTCTAATTCTGTTTAATTAGCGCTCTACCCCCTGGACAAAGAGTTACCGCTCGTACCTAATACGGTTTTGCTTAAATATTATCAGTGCCGTTCTAAAATGCAAATGCAATTTATAAATAATACCTTTATTAGAATATTTCCTGTCACTCATAGTTTTAATAGATGGAATTAGTATGGCTAAAACGATTTTCCTGTCGACAGACTTTAATATTTAAGCTTGTGCATTTTTTGTTTTTAAATTTGTAAGTTAGAAAATGCAACTAAATTGGTACATTGAAAATGCTCAGCGAATTGTTAGTTGAACTTTTGTTTGCACGAGTACAGGGTGTGTCCCATTAACATTCTATTTCTGTCTGATTGGATAGAATTGTTATAGATACAGAGTTCAAAGTTCTTTTTTTTTTAATCTACTTTATTATTAATGTTTTTTCAACTAACAAACGAACTTTAAATTGTAAGCTTTTTTTTATAGTGACTACAGAATATTATTCCGTCAGATGGTCTGCTTTAGTAGTCTTGAGCTATTTTTATTTACATATTTTAGAGTTAATATAAAAACAATATAAAAACTAATTAAGTTATATCTTAATAAGCTTATTTGAATCCGAAGTGGGTGGTATTGGATTGATTAGTTCATAATAGTATTAAAAATAATTTAAAATATTGTACCCTAAAGAAACTATATCGGAATAAAACGGTACAAAAACATTATGCGACCTACGTTGGAATAAACTCTTTTGATTATAAAACACAATCATTAATATTATTATGTTTATTTATTGAATTACATAGATTTGATATATATGGACATAAAATAAGACTTAAAATCTACGTGGTATAAATATCAAGAATAAGTAATTAAAAAATTAAAAAATTATTTAAAGATGAGAAATTTCTTTGAGATCAAGAAAATAATTTCAATCATTTCTTCGATCATTAATATTTGTGCGATATTGGCTAATAGATCCTTCAATATATCCACCTAAATATAAATTCCAAATCTATATAACTAATCTCTTATTTGTAGTTGATTGCCAAGTATAAAAAAATACAAAGGCAATAACTAATTACTCGTGTTATGACTCTGAACTTAGGAACAAATAAAGGTATTATAATTTACTTAAATTATATTAATAAAATTTTGATCTAGATAGCATAAAATTCGTGTGTCAATTTAGAGTTACAGCCATCTTAAGCGACTTCAAAAATGAGGTTCTCAATTAGATTGTATTTTTTTTCTATTTTTTTTTTTTCACTTTCCAAAAAGTGAGCCGTTAGTTTGTTTGCCATTCTAAGTTGCATAAAATATATTTTTTAGATACTATTATATTCACGGATTCACGGTAGATGCCTTAAGACTACCCCAGTCTTAAGGCATCTAAGACTACTTTCACAAAGTTTGATCCACTGAAAATTCTAGAATTGATTATATCAGCAAACACAGTACAGTAATTTGTTAATGAATAATCTGGTTTAGGGGCACAACAATTTTTTGCAAAATTTTTATTTTCTATTTACTTTTAGTAGTTGTTTCTAAACTTAATTTTCTTTTTAATTTTTTTTTATTCAAACAAAACATTATTAAGTTAATTAACGTACCTGGTGCACTAACGCTCAAATTTAAGGGAGAGTTGATAACTGGATTCGAAGACATAGACGTCAGGCCCTGCAAATTGGCAGCCAACTGGGACATTTGTTGCGACATCTGTTGCTGCAACTGCTGCGACATCGGTGGCATGTTCTGTTGCATGTTTGCAAGATTTTGCAAGTTTTGGAACATTGACGCCACTGGGGACAAAAAATAATCTTGATTTAATATAGCTTCATTTTAAATTCTTTAAGGGCTAAGTAAAGACAACTGAGTAATTCTATCTTTGCAAATATATTTCTTGATTCATCGTCATTATTATCATTATATCAGCCATTAACTGTCCACTACTGATTGTAGGTCTCCCCATAAAAGGGGTTTTGCCAATAGTTGCCACGTTTAGCTGATGGGTTAGCAAACAGAGTTAGGCTTTGTGTTGTTTTAAGACTGTTGCCCATCCCTCGATCATAAAGGCCCCCGTGTTGCTGTCCCTAAAACAGCGTTCCTCTTAAAACATCACTAAAGTTTAACTGCGGTTGCCAATCCGCCTATTAAGCGTGGTAACCTTTGGCAAAATCTCTCTTCACGAGGGAGGCCTATCTTAGCAGTGGACAGTTAATAGCTGATGCATACATAAATTACACGACTGCCCAAAAAAGGAGTATAATGTTTTTTTGGGTTCATGTATATACGAGTTTCTTTATTTCACCGTAACTTTTAAATGCTTCAACAGATTTGGATGTTTGGGATATCGTTAGAATTCTTGTATCATTCCGAGGGACACTGGTTATAATTATTTTCAAAACAGTTCGCTTTTCGGTATGATAGTCATTGTTTCAAATTTGTGGAGCAAAATGCACCTGTTTATACATACATTATAAACTATGTGAATTTATCTGTAATAATCTATGCAAAATTAATAGACGAGCTATTATTTCGGGCGTCAAGTATCATAGATCGCTTCTATGCTGTGTTTTGAAAGGTGAAACACGAGTGTGATTACGTTAGTGAATATTGTAACAATGTAACAATAATTACATTACAACAGATCAATAATAACAAAGCCCAAAGAATCATATATTTATATTTTCTTAAAGAAATATAATATATGACTATATTACTGATATTCTATACTAGCTTTTACTCACGACCTTATCCGCGTGACGGCGATATATTCATTAATTGGGAGAAAAAGTAGCCTATCAACTATTTTCAGGATTTCATCTATATACTAAAATTCGCAATTATAATATTAGTTAAGAACGTGATTTTTTGACATTTGAAATTTAGATATTAAACCACGTAAGGAAATGAATAGATTTGATAATTTTTTACTCGTATATGGATTGAATATACAGCATAGTTACTTATTACGAATTAGATTTCATGCACATAATGTCATAGGTAATAAACAGATAGTGATTAATATCAATTATAAATACTATTAAATAATTTACATGTACATTTTATAAAAAAAATGTTTGGGTAATTGTTACTCGATCACCCTTAATCTTATATCAATGAAGATTGGCTCAGAGATGATGATGATTAGGTAATTAAGCTTTTTTCTCTTCACATGCGGATGGCTTAGACTAAAATATAAAGAAACGTTCAGTACGAACTCACTGGAGCCATTCAGGTGCGGTTGATGTTGATGCTGATGCTGTGGTGAGCGCGCGTGCGGCGACGGCGTCCGCGGCTCGGCTATCTGCGCACGCGCACCGCCTTCCGGCGAGCTCGCGCCGCTCTCACGGTCCGACTCCGCCTGCTGGCAACACATACAATTGATTAAATATCTGTACACTGGTAAATAAGTTCCTTTTTATATTAATAGTTTTTTTTTTTTTTATTTTAATCACAATTTAGATTGTGTTCCAAAAAAAAAAAAACAGACTATAATTGTGGCAATACCAGTTATTTTATTTTAAAAACTAAACTACTGAATCGATTTTTATAAAAAATAAAAAAATGCTTTTTCCAAATCAGTTTGTTACTGACGGAGTTATGAGGTAACAAACATAAAAAAATCTAACAGAATTGAGAACCTCTTCTTTTTAAAATAAATATCGGTCGGTTGAAAATAAATAAATTCTTATGATTGTAATTTCTTCAGGCATTTGTCTATTGTTTTTTATGGAATGAAAATAGAATGGTACGCCTTACTATCGCTAATCGAAATGGGGTTAGCGATGATAAGTAAAGGTAAAGACAGGTTAGTTGTCGTGACGTAATTCACTACCATTAACTACGATTGTTTCTAAGGGTGATCGCGGGGAGGTCGAACGGACTGTAGTCGATTATTATCGTTTTAGCGAACGCAACACTTGGCATATCCTTATTTCGCATTCATATTTGACTAAACTAAACTATACATAAATACGTTTTCGATACTTTTTTCCCGCGTGTGTCGTAATCAAAACGCATACCATAGTAGTCATTAATTGACCACTGCTGAACATAGGCCTCTTCTTAAATATTTTGCTTTCTTACGATAATAATAATGCCATAATTAGATAGAATGCATCATTTCGTAATAATTATTACCATTGGAAATGGTAAATAACTTGATAGTTCGACTCTGGAATGCGCTACCCATGGACATTAGACAATTGTCTAACAAATTTATTTTTAAGAGAAAAGTCTACGAATATCTTTTGAAAAAAACTGTGAAAGCAGTTCATCATCTTCATCATCATCACTTTTGATCTCTATCGTTGTTTATTTGTGTTATCGTATATAATCTATAAGTATGTAGGTATATTTATATATGTATATTTATATTTGTATGTATGAATTTTTATTACATATTTGTATATTTACGTAATATTTGTTTAATGTATTCATGTATGTATATTTATATAATCATAATGTGCAGTAGTTCTCTATTGTATGTGTTGTAATTTTTTTCACCGCATAATAAAATTTCTGTTTAGCCAAAGGTTGACTGGGAGAGAATGCTATATAGTATCAAGTCCGCCTTTTGTATCAGACATTTTTTTTGTAATGTGGTCAATAAAGAATAAATAAATAATCTTGCTTTAACATGAATGAACTTAGTAGATGCACAGATAACCATAAGCAGAGAGACATGCAGTCATTATAGCCACTTATGTTTCTCGGTGGTTACGAAGAGATGTCGCTAGTGAGGCAATGTGAGATTTAATTTAAATATTATATTAGCTTTAATAGCCAAATTTTTCATACTTTGTATTACATTATTTTAATTTCATAGGGATCTCTATTTATAGCCCATGTTACTCGCCAATAATGTAGCTAAATACAGGTGAAAGAATTTTTAAAACCGGTTGAGTAGGTTCCTTCATTCATTACAAACAGACATACAAAAAAACTAACCTTTCGTCTTTACAATATTAGAATAGACAATGCACTTCTACTATAAAAAAATGTAATATTCCCATAGGAAAACATACAAAATTCGCCAAAGTCGACAAGGGAGCACAAATAATATATAATTTTTTTTTTTTTTATTAATATTCTATAAAATAAAATGGAAATAATTTTGAATATGAAAAATTTAAGGGTGTCTGTTTAAGATGTAGTGTTAATTTTAACATAATAAATCATGATCGAATCATTAAAATCACATATATGCAGATCGATTTATTGGGGCTTAATTAATTCCTTATTAATATTAGTGTTTCATTGGAAATAAAACAATTATATTGGTTAATCAAGAAGGTCAAACTACCTGTTTTAAATTAACCTTATTATAACTTATTTTACTAAGAGGAAATAATTTGTGCGCGGTTAATTTCATACACATAAATAATTATGTTTCATTATTTGTAGTAAATAATTTGCTGTATGTAAATTACATTATCAAGTATTATAACATATGCTTTCCGAGTTTTCCTGTTTATAAATTTCAGAGTTTAGTTTTTTTTTTGTTTTTATTTATATGTTAATTAAATTTATTTTATTGCACTCAAGATATTATTATTTTAGTATTTTCCCACTCGTAAAAAAGACAAGTAAACATACTTATTATTTTTATTATTATTAATCAATTTTAAATGTAGGATGAAATTGTTATTTCGATTGCAACAAATATTGTAATAATTGTTTGTTTAATTATAGGAATTTATGTTCGAGATGGTCAAATACTAGTGTTTTTCTTTTAACATTTTGCATTATTATTTTTATTTTTTTAAGGAAGTTAATACAAAAAATTCTATTATTTTTTAAAATTTAACTGTTAACATGTTACATCGTTTTCTTAAAAGAGGTGTTACAACTCTAAATTCATCAGTTGAAAAATAAAAGAAATTAAATAGATACTAACGTATTATATATTTTTATCACTTTCATTTTAAATGGTTTATTATAAATTCTATATTAATTTGAATAATAAACACAATTAAAGGCAGATATTTTCTTAGAAATTAGGCTCTAATTATATTCGCAGTGATTATAAATTATACAATAAACCTTTTTATAAACAATTGTGATTCATAAATACTTGTATATTATGATTACGACCATTTATTTATAGAGTTCCTAAAAATAATTTGATAATTCATTTAAAATTATTACTTACGAAAGATAATGTCATTCTCTCCACTTCTATGAGAATATTCACTTTGTTCCAATGTCAACACTTTCTACTATGTTTCCGACACATCGGAAAATTCAATTGTTTCCACGACGGCGATACCGCGAAAACTTTGCAAAACTTTTTAAAAGTTACCAAGAGAGAGGAAAAAAGCCCATTACATTACGGAACACTTATTCTGACACGGTCTTAACATGCGTAGATACAACTTGTTTATTGTTCGTCAAAGTTCTTTTGTCAAGTGCAAAAACGAGAACGGAATAGATAGCGGCTCGAAACGGAACACAGCGCACTATGGCATAGAGCTTTCACATATATTTTTTTAATTTTTTTTTTTATTTATCGCGAGCGTCACACACACAGCCGCGCGACGAAGTTGCACAGGGCGAATGAAAGCGCGTCATCAGTTTAAAAAATCAACCCCTTCTGTGGTGGTTGGAAAAAATGCGCCCCCGGCGGGCGGTGGGCGGCCCCTCCGAAATCCTTGCCAAAGTGATCGCCATCGGACCGACTTGTCACTTGTCGAATAAGCATAATTAAAGTTTTCGTTTGTTTTCATTCGCCCTCTTAATTAGTTGTTGATTACAGCCATCGTTTTTGGAATAGGATATTACATCGATATCTTTAGCGATTGTGGACATAAAAAAATAAATAGATCGCAATTAAACAATGCAATTAATTTTAATGATTGTAATTGCTCGTTCGATCAATTGAAAACACAAAAATTCCGAATTGCTACTAAAATGGAACAAAAAAGAAGGAATTCCGTATTAAGCTAATTTATCTTATACAAAAATCAATATTGTCAGTTTGGATTATATAAATCTGGATTATATAGATGGAGCGTTGTCTTAAAAAAACGGTACGATAAATAGTCAGCCAATTATCAGACTGACGTTTTATCATATTGAGTGTTCAAATGTGCAATCTCGTGTCGGGATGCATGAAAATATAATTGAAAATATAATAATATGAGTAATAAATAAATTATTATATTTATTTATGCGGTTTGTATGGTAACTCATCAAATTAATGCAATTGTATTAGCGCGCATTGTAAATAAAAAATGGGCTGTTTTTATCATTGCTTCATCTAAAGGTTTTTGATCTAGATCAGTGTTTTATAACGTGTGGGTCGCGACCCCTTGGAGAGTCACGAAAACTACCTCAGTAAAAAAAAAAAACAAAATTATAAATATAAATACTATAATACTTAATTCTGTATTTATCCGAAACCTAATTATGCAAGTACATAAAAGCGTTGTATGGATTAAAGTATTCAGTCTTTACAGCATCTTTGTAACATTATAAAATACATCAATAAAATGGTCGGAGGTAGTGAAATATTTTTCATATTAGGGAAGTCGTGTCAAGAAAAAGGTTGAAAAACATTGATTTAGATTATTATAGATCTAGGTTATTACCGAGCACCGATATCTACTTTAAGGTTATTACAAAAAAAAATGCACGTAATTAAAAGTATATATAATCACAAATCTCGAAAAGATTCGAAAAGGTCTTACAAGCCGTCATCTCTCCGCTGGAAGTTTTGATTATCAGCCATTTATGAATTTGTGTTCATCAAATTATTTTTATACTTTGAAAGATGCTTAAAATACCGACTGTTAATTTGACATTAATTGAATATCCATAATAGTTTATTCATATCATTTCGTTATTTTTTATATGATACGTAGAATGGCTAATGATCGTCTATAGATATGAACACGAATATTCCAGAATACACTATCACGGTCATGGTCTCCCTCGCGCGTTGCCATTCCCGAGGACTAAGATATTATGGATTTATACTGTAAATTTATAATGTAATTTTATGAAAATACCTATAGATGTTTAGCGTGTGTCTACACGGGTGAGATAGAGGTGCCATGCAGTCGTCTTTTGTACAAATTCTCCCTCCGGTCGTCTGTTATTACAAACTTGCGATAACAGTCATGCGTGTATTTATATATTGTTAAGTTGATTATTTTAATAAAATAATACGTAGATTTGTAAATTTTATAATCTATATATTATTTATTTTTAACTTCAAAAAGAAGGTTCTCGAATCGACTGTATTTTCTCTTTATGTTTGTTACCTCATAACGCTCTCAGTTATAAACCGATTTGGGAAATTATTTTTTTTATATAGGGTGTCCCGTAAGTTTATGGATCAAACGGATTCGGGCAATA